TCACTGTCGTGCTAGAAGATGAATTCCTGACCAATATATCTTGTTTTGAGAGAATGGCACGATGAATAAGAATATGGTTGTACCTGTTAGCAGTCATTGTATTATCTACATCTTCAACATAATTAGCCGAGATGCAACTCACATCTTTGTTCTGCCCCCCCCCAAGTATGCTTCACTGTATATGTTGTTCGTAACACTGTTCACCTTTATACCATATAAAAACCACCATTAATTGTTTCCTTACTAATTTTAAGTCAGCGAAATATTACTGACTTTTGTAAACAAAAAAATGCAATTTAACAAAATCACACAAAAAATGATCTGTAATTTTCCTTCAATTATTATATAATTAGGTGACGTACTTCTTCAATATGCGGAAACTTAGGGTTCTCCATGTCAGCTTTGGTGACAATCGGTTCAACGGCTCGCCAGTTATAAACGAACTCAAACTTACTTCGTCAAATAATGATTTATATAATTGTATTACTATCATTTTATACTTACATTAAAAATATTTTGATTGCAATAAGAATAAGAGGTGAAGAAGTATCCCGAGCGAAAAATTATTCTACGTCTTTCGAACAGTGTTTAACTGGTACTTAGACTAGCAGATTATTTACTTGAGAAGTAAGATATAAACAATGGTGCCACTCACGGTTGGGTACATATTTTATCAAAAAATGGTATAAATTTTAAAATTAAATCATATTTTCTAGCGTTTCTACTTGCTAACAAATAAGAAATTTATAAAAGTATTTTAGACACAATAAAACTTTTTAGGAAATTAATGATATACTCAATCTTTTTTTGCTTTTTTATATTTTTGAACAATTGCAGTAATATTACATTTAGGCTTGGGATGTACGGTTTATTATGAAAGATTTGGATACTGTCGACGTATGCCTCGTAAATAGTTAAATTCAATACATAAGTTTGTTTGTTTGTTTGTTTTTAATTATGCACAAAGCTACACAAGGGCTATCTGTGCTCTGCCCACCACGGGTATCGAAACCCGGTTTCTAGCGTTGTAAGTCCGCAGACATACCGCTGTGCCACTGGGGGGCAAATTACATAAGAATAACTAGTAAAGTCACCGATAATCAGTTTGAAAGATAATACGAACGACTTTTAGTTACTTATGTTTTTCTTACTGTTAATCCGTCTTCGTAAATTTTAATGAATTACCTTTGGACTAACTTTTTGTTGTTATTCATCTTGTTATTTTTATAGTATTAGAATGTTGTTGGTTTGTGCAACATGATACTGGTTATCTGCTATACGTTGAATAATAAAAACATTTTTATTTTTAAAGAATGACTATAAGTTATGAAAATAAATAATTAGAGACGCTGTTACACATCTTATTGATCATTGTTCCATACGACGTTATTTGGATTGTTGAAGTAAATACGTGGATTAGAAAAAAAAGAGTAACAATTATCACAAACAATCCATATTAATACGCAAATTTCATGATTAGGCACCTAATTTCAAAAAAGTTTTAAACAGGCAGTTTTCATATGCATCGCTATATATATATAATTGTGGCAATTATATTTCAGGAATAGTAATAATATACTCTAAACATTGCAGAATAGAGCTTTTACTGTTAGTTGTCATTAATCTAGATAGATTGCAAAGTTGTAAGTATCTACAATACAGGAACGAAACGTTATACAAATGATAATTTCGAACACGAAAAGTAAGACAAAAATGAAAGAAACACGATTTAAGAAAATATTTATTCACAATAAAAAAAGTAAGCAAATTAAGTAAATATGACATTAATCCAGAAAGGTATACCACACAACAGGGCCAAGCAAGTGTAAGCTTTATGGAGATTTGTTTTGAATTTCGCCCAAAACTACACGAGGGCTATGAATTGTTTGGTTGTTTGAAGTTAAGCACAAAGCTACACAATGGACTATCTGTGCTCTGCCCGCCAGGGGTATCGAAATCCGGTTTCTAGCGTTGTAAGTCCGCAGACATACCGCTGTGCCACTGGGGGCTTAGCAGTGAAAGACTAGAGGGAAGGCAGCTAGTCATCACTGTCAATTCTTGGGCTACTCTTTCACCAACGAATAGTGGGTTTGACCGTTACATTATAACGCCCAACGACTGCAAGGGCGAGCGTGTTTGGTGGGACGGGGATTCGAACCCGCGACCCTCAGATTGCGAGTCGAGCGCCCTAACCACCTTTTATTGTCGGAGCAAAGAGGATTAGCCGCAGGTTTATGACATTTCTACGTCCGGTTTACTAAAACTTAAATTATACGCAGAGCAACTGCATGAAGACTTATAATAAAAAATCATCGAATATATCCTAACAAAGGTATATTTTTAAGAGATGTGAAAGGATGAAATTAGTAATTTTTCAAATGAGTCATAATAATAGTAATCGTATTCAACAAGAACATTACGTGTACATTGAAGTAAGGATCACGATTATCGATTTATCTCTTAAACTTCATGAACGTTTTAGTAAGTAAAACTTGAAATAACTTCTATAGAAAAAGCTTAGAAAACCCCAAAGAGGGGAGATAATTTTACTTCTAGGATAACTTGGTGTCACTATACAAATTAAAAGCGACATACAATTTAAATAAATTCAATTAGCTTCGATGTTTCAGTTTTCCCAACACAGATCACAATAAATAATTACTTTAGGAACACATTTAAGCATATATGTTTTTCTTACAAAGATTCTAAATAAGTAAAAATCTCAAATTATTTTCAAATTTATATGACTTCTGACCAGAAACATATCTATCAGCGGAGCAAGTTAATTAACATGACTGCAAATTAGTTTAAAACTTGTGAAAACTTGCATAGTAACTTGTGCACCTCAGTTTTTGCTGTTGTTTTTGTATTTTGAAGATGTTTCCTTTCTGTAAAAATCACATAATATGCCATATTTAATTTATAGAATAATTATTCATTTGACTTTTTTTTCTCCAAATTAATCTGCTTGGTTTGCCTAGCTCACTCTTGTGGTTTCGATCCTCTCCATAATTTCAAAGGATAGCCATAGTTATTACACTTCCCACAGATCATCAAACATTTCATCACAGAAAAGTGCCTTCATTTCTTTCACCAATGCAGACCCTCAAAGCAAATACCATGAAGGATGTTGGACTCCTGTCGTGTTTAAAACAAGTCGAAGTTATCAGTGTAGCGTGAAATATAAGTCAGGCACGAAAAAGAAAAAATTCCATGCACAAAATTCGTTTTTTTTAAACAACAAAAACTCCAACTCTGGGAAGTTGCATTTAACCATATAAAATGTCGTTAAACTCCAGATTCTTTTTTTTTTAAATACTGACGTAATCTATTATCATAGAAAAGATAATGCTGTCTTTTTCCAACACCGTTTCCATTTTACCACCCCATAAATTTTATAACTACACTCATCCATTGGTTGGCAAACAAATAAAATCTTAGAAGTTTTAATGAAATTTTATAGAACACACTGTAAATAGTACTAAAATAGGAGATGATTTAACACTAAAAAATAATTTTCCTTCTCGGTTACTCAATTCAGAATTTCCAACATAAACAGAAATTTAGGCGCACGTGGGCTAAAAGGCCAGGCAAGATATTCCTAAAATTTAATTACACCTGTTCCTAATTTTGAACTGCAGCTCCTGTCGCTATAAAATCTTTGACCGACTTTATGAATCGAATAACGGACATGATTGTCATGTTGCTAACCAGCCCACAGCTGAAAGTATAACTCATATTCAGCGGTATCACGAAGCGACCTGATACATTAACCACCAGGCCATGCCCGATCTAGTCAGCTCTGAATTATACAGTAATACTACTCTATCAGAGAACGAAGATCATTAGTTCAGAATAAGAACAGAAAAAACTAAGGCAATATTTTGATGGCTCGTATTACACAACATACAGTCAGCTTTGGTTAACAAGCAAATCACGTTTGCTTGAAATTTAACATTTGTCTAATAGTATTTATTAGGATAGTTTTTGTTTAAGAACAGCTTTACGAACATCTGTCTTCTTGTTTAAGGACATACTTATAAACATGTTTGCTAATTTCAAGACATTTAAGATTAATGACAGAAATATTTGTATCTCTAACCTTCTTATTTTCTATTCACAACCAAAATTATACGCATTTTTTTATCATGCTGAGAAATTCATTAAAGTTGGCGGCATCACTAGTTCTTATAAGCAATGTGTGCGTTTTTTAACGTTTTTATTTTACTTTATGTAACCAGATATGAACTGATTTACTTGTTGTGTCGTTGTGACTGTTAAAATGAAAGTAACGTATGACCTCCTTGTCTTAACAGCTAGAGCGTGATGGACCAACCTAGTGATCTAACTAAACGTTTCTAATGCACTACTATGCTTTGACTATACGAGAACGAAAGCACGATCTCTCTTTATCTTGGCACGTTTTGTGTATAATATTAACTTAATTGCATGCTCTATGTATGAATGAAATGTTGAGTGAAATTTGTAATAATTATTAAATAAATATCTTTTATAAGTGAAGGTGACATCGTTTCAGTAAATAGTGGCGAAACTAACTTGTTTGTTTGTATTTTGCACAAAATTACACGAGGACCATGTTGGCTAACCGTCCATAATATCGAAGTGATAGACTTGAGGAAAGGCAGATAGTTAAAACCACCCACTGCTGTAACAGACGACATTCAACGAACCTTTCCTCAGTTCGGCAAGCTACCCAAACAGCTGCGCTTTCCCAGTGAAACTAATATTATTTAATAGTAATAAGAATTATTAGGAAATTATCTAACGATAAATACTAAGCCTTTTATTTGACTGTGTTACAAAGCTATATTATGGCTTCACTATTTAGGCTAGTTTTTCTAGTGATAGATTAAAAAACAAATAAAGCTGAATTAGTTAATTTTTAAACACAATGTAATGAATCACCTGAAAATATATTATATCGGTAACAAAAATGATTGGAACACTCGCTTACATACTCAAAATCCATATAAACTAACCTGTATATATATTACACTGGTAGAAGTTTCTTCCACTATGTCCTCCTGTTCTTCAACATCTGTTAAAAAGTCTGCTTTTCTGTCTGTATGAGCCAATGTTCGTATTCCCGTAACCTCAGGGGGATCTACTGGCAACGGTGTGATCACAACTGAAATAAGGTTGTGCATAGAGCGATAATTATTGCTATTTGTTTTAATAAGTTTGTTTGTTCATAAGCACAAAGCTACTCAGTGGTATATCTGTGCTCTGTCCACAGCGGTTATCGAATCTTTATTTTTAGTGCTATAAGCCTCCAGATTTACCGCTGAGTTACCAGGTGAATTTCTGCAGGATATATGTATGCTAATTCTTGGATTTTAAAGACATAATATTGGTGTTGAAAGTAGCAAAATCCGATTGATATTGTTTTAATTCAAAATACAATATTTCGGAGTTAAAAATCATTAGTGAATTGTTTTCTCTGGAATACTTTGGCAGTGATTTAATTCAATCAACATTAAAGGACATTAAGAGTTGGGATCATAAACAAATAATAAATTGAAAAAAATATATATATAATGTTTTATTTTACTTACACAATGATTGCGGCTGTAAAGGAATAAGGTCTGGATCGCCCGAAGCTGTAGATTTTTCAACAATGTCATCACCTCTTGATATAGTGGGCCTAAAATGGAAAGGATGGTGGATTGAGGTTTGAGGGTATGTTGTGGTATTTATATATATATATATATATATAGAAGTTATTTTATTGGAATATGTTGAAAGTTTCTAGTTGGTAAGTAATATCACGGTTTGTTTATTGCTAAGCGCAAGGCTACATAAATGACTGTCTGTGATCTATCTAACGCAGGTATCATAACCCCATTTTAATCGTTATACACTCTCAGACATTTCGCTGACCTATCAAAGAAGAGGTAAAGTAAATGCAGTTATAACCACGTGATAGAGTGTGAATAAAATGTTGTTATTTTTTTTCTCTGGTTAATGTCAAATTTTGTGTGAAAATAGTTTTCCTTTGAATATATCAGGAGGGTGAAGAAATTCCTACCTTCTCCTTTCATTGAAGTTAGAAAAAAATAAATTAGATAGTCCGATGATGGCAGGTTCTAAGCCATTAAAAAATACAGTTGCATTGAGGTTGACATTGAGATACAAACGAATGGGCTGTAAGTGTAATTTGTAACTGGTTAAAAGCACAAAAAAGGGAGACTTGTTAAATTTGTTTTTTCTTTTAGAGCAAAGCCACATTGAGCTATCTGCTATGTCCACAGTAGGGAATCGAACAACATATGTTAGCGTTGTTAAGTCCATAAACTTGCCCCTTTCCTACTGGGGGACCGTGGCAAAGAGAAAATGGATATTAGAGCTTACTTTAAGATAATAATCTCAATATCAGTCCAGCTTACGAGTAATATTTGGTTTTTAGATTCCAAAGTTAAACAAATTAATGCAGCGAAAAATAATATTAAAGGAGAATATAGATAAACTGAAATAACTAGATGAAAAATACATGAATTAGTTGAAGAAGGTTACATAGAAGGTGAGATTGATGAGGCAGATGAATATCGTGGGCATCTTCATGAAATATTGGCTAAAATAAATTATGTCCTTAACCTACTCATCGTTTGGCATGGGCTTCAAACTTATCATAAAGCTGTCCAAAATTCGTTAAATCATATACATTAGTAGCACTTGCCAACATTTATTCGAATAGTTTCATCATAATCGTTACAGTAATACTCAATACTGCATTAGCATTCGAAGCTGCATGCTTCAAGACAGAAATTTCAAATTATTTGAGTTTAAAAGCATTTGTCAATTCAGCGTTATTACGTATTGCAGACTCATATGTTTTTGAAATATCAGAAATTCTGTCATATTTTTGTCAAATCCTTCTACTTCTAATTTAGTAATTTTACCCTACATTAATGTTAGTGTTCATAATAGCCTGTCTTAGCCGTCCATAATTTGAAAACCATCGACTTTCACTCATATTAGAAAAATCGGATGTTTTGATTTTTTTTACGACGAAAGGAAGCTGTGATTTCAATGAAATCGAAAGTTCAGAAAAATTCAGTAATTTTTAGAAACCTTTCGAAGTTGTTATTAATGCTTTGAAAGTTTTGAAGAAATGAAAAAGTACAAAGTCATAAAAATTTTATAATACTTTAGACAACTGTTGTTGTAACTATTATACTGCCATCAAGTTGATATATTCTACTCCTGGGTTTTCAAAGCATGGGGAATTCTGGGAATTGTTCTTCATGAACTTATATGATATTGACGGAGTCAAGGTACTCAAAGTATGGTAACACCTAAACTAGAACAGTGATTCATTGCTTTATATTCGGCAGGTTTTTACTTCAGCCGCTAACATTGGAATAATAATAGGAAATAGGTGTAAAAAGATTAGAAGAAACTGTCAGGAGATTTACTTGGAACTCTACTGTCTATACTGAAAAGAACAGAGTATTATTCCTTTTGTTTCTTCTAATTCCTAACTCATCTACTAGCAATAAAATAACTACAGAAAATAAGTGTGAAAAGGTGAGAGGGTAAACTCTGACCATAAGTACTTTGAAATTTTGTAATCACTACTAACAATACTATACATTTTATTTTGCAACCTTTATTTTCTTTATGCTGTGATTACTTACCTACAACCTGGAGAAATGAGTATAATGTTACAGTACAAAAACTGACAAACAAAATATAAAACTTTACTGAAAATGGAAATGATATTTAATTACGAGGTTTTTCATTTTTAATTTGTTTTAACTGTTTATTATTATTATAAAAGTAACTAAAATCATACAAATATAAAGTTGTTAGGCAAGATAAAAAAAGAAAAATAATAGATAACCTTCATGGGATATATGCACCGGAAGTTTCTGCATTACCATGTTTGATAGAGTCGATGCGTGTGCGCCGCGAAATTTTCAACTTCTGTCAGGGTATTTTTAGTCAGACACAGTTCAAAGGTCAATAGAACAAAAATTAATAAATATAAATAGATTTATACTGTTAAGAGTTTTAAACTATTTAGAATAATCATTTGAGGTTTTCTATTACAATTTGAAGTTATTATAAAAGAAAAAAGGTAATTTAGATTTATTTTCTAATTTTTATGATGGTTACGAGGTCGGTCAAATCGAAGAACACCATATAGGGTTAATATTGATAAAAATAACAGATTAAATATAAACTTTTATTTAAAAAAAACGTTTGATGATGTAACGAATATGTTATTATATATTTATTTTAATATAAACGTTTGTTTAGATTAAATTTATATTTAGAAACATATATAGCTTATACTGTTAAATATGTATTGCAAAATTCCCGCCTATTCTGCAAAGTTGCTGAAGATTCTCGAGAGTAAGAATCAACAATATATATGTGTACCTAAACACTTGTGTCAACGTCAGTATTGTTACGTAAAACTGAAATTTCTAGAAAGCCTCCACACGTCTATAAATATAACCATTGCGACGCCCCCCCAAAAAAAGAATATTTACTATTAGTTTGCTATAATCAGTGTGCTATAAACTTTGGAAGCTATAACTGTGATTGTTATAACGCTTATCAGTCGAAAAACTTCAGATACTTGACCAGGGTTATTTACAAAGTTCGAACATTACAAATAATTTAACTTCCGTGGATTCTTATCGGACATTAGTATTTTCACGAAAACATTATATAAATTCATGGTGGAAAACTCGGCATGTGTGGCTGGTTAAGTTAGTTATACCTACGTCAACTCGTAATCAACTCGCTCATCGTGAACCCTCGATAGGATATTGAAGAAGTTCCAGACTAAAAAGAAAATCTTATATTACTTGTAAATTTGTGAAACTTTGGTTTATAAATCATTGTTTGTATTAATTATTTGTAATAATTGTTATTGTAAATTGTATTATTGTTTGTATATTAAAATATATTTGTATAAAAAAAGAAAAAAACCGTGTGTATCAATCTTGTTGGCAAATATCATAACCTGACTATATATATCGGCTTTTACTTAACTGCTAAATCCAAAGTACAATTAAACAACTAAATCTAAATTATCACTTAGCTCCGTTTCAGACCATTAGGAATTCTAATACATAACAACGATTATCTAGAAGGATATAGAGATTACCCAAACGAAACTTGACAAATTTCACTTTTAATCTTAAAATCAAAATTACTTTGTACGTTGGATAGTTAATGTTCTGAAAGAAAAATTCACGAGAAAATCTTTAATAAACAAATTTTTTGAAAACATAATTCCAAAACCAGATATTTTGTGTATGAAATTCTTGTAATGTTTACTAATAATCTGCAAAATTTTGTAAAGACTTGTTTACATTTTCAAAAATTATAGTACAATTACTCTCATAGATACTTTTCTGGTTACGAGCTGGGTGAATTCTACCCTTAAAAGGATTATACGTATGAAGTAATTATGTTTATAAATACTAAACTTCAGAATCAATTGGTTAATATATTATTAGTAATTAAAAGCAAGTCAACAGGCGAGGGTGAGGATAATAGGTTTAAATTATTCTTGAGATTTGTTGCGTAATTTATCTTAATCTATTGTGAAATGTTGAGAGTCGTTAGTGGCGTACATCATAAAATCTTAACGCTATTCTAGTCAGGAAGAGTGCGAAACAATATCAATAAAGTCATTCACTGTCCTTTCACTAGAGTAAATAAAAGTGTTTTTATATTATAAAATAATTAATATATTTTAAAAGTATCAGTGAGACATAACATAAAATTACACTTATGATATAATGCATGAATGTCAGGTTTTAAGAGTATATGTTATATATACATAATTCGAAGTTAGTTGCACTTGGCTTATACTTTACGAAAGCTGAAAGCACAATTTCAAAATTTAATGTTTTATTAATTCCATATACCTTCATCCTATTCACCTCATGTCATCTGTGTACTAATTTTTATACTTAGAATTTTATGAATTTATAATGTAATTTGCTAGAAACTGTTTACGAAGTGATATTTTTCACTTCGCAGTTTCATTCTTTTATGATTAAATGTAGAATTATAAAGCACTATTATGAAGCTAAGTAAAATATACGCGCGAATGTTCAAAAATATCTGTAAGTGGAGCTTCTTTAACAACTTAGAATGTTATAAAAACATTCAATCCTTGCAGCAAAAATACTGTGTTAAATTTGGTCTTTCCAGCTTTAATGATTGTATTCAATAAAGTTTAACAGGTCTATATACGAAACTGATGTTTTTAATGATTTTAAGGATGATAATTTTCAAACCAAATTGCTTCAGTTTGAACATACACACATACACACACACACACACACATATATATACATATATATCAGAATGGAAGGCAGGAAACTTTCACATTAACGAGTTATGTACGTAGTGTTTACTGTTTTTACCTCATGCAACATTCGGAAGACATTCATGAAAAGGGTGACTCATTGAACAGATCCTATGCTACATATCGATAGATTTTCTTACACAACTACCTCGGTGGAAAGCATATATTTCCTAAATTATCAAGCCTTAGCTATTCTTCGCGAAATTATATAATGCTTTATAGTCGTAAATATTTATTATTCTTATTCTTTGTTCGAGAATTGGACGATGTATAATTACTTGGGTATAACATATACCAGAAAGTATATTAATAGCATTAATCAAGTAAAAGTTATATAAAATAAATTTCAATTCTAAACTATTTCCAAAAGCCTTCTGAGCATTTCAATTTAACCATCAGCAAGTTTTCTTTTCTCTTCTAAGATAACCAATGGTTTGGATAATAAATGAAACTTCCATTTAGGCGAATAAAATTGTGTGCAACACCTTAATAACCAAAACGGTTTAAAAAGTATGGCATATTCAATACCACTATCTTTGTAAGTATTTCGCATTACACATAAAATCATATATATATCTGTAATCGTCCATGTTTATAATGATCTTTCTAAAGAAAATTCTATTTCTCACAAAATTCAGTTGGGTTTCGTTAATTGCTGTGTACTCATCTTTTAAGCCCCTGGAATGTTTTGTAAAAACAGATAAACTCTGTTTAAGAAACAAAAATGTTCTTGTTAAATGAAATGCCTTGCAATTTTCGGTTCCGCGCTTTTTACTGATCTGCAGGGATTTACTGTTTTGTTTATCTACAGTTCCTTTGTTGCACAGTTGTTGGCAAGTAATTCAATGGTCCCGCTTCCTTGGGCTTAAAGAAGTGTAGAAAATTTGGAAGCAGTGAAAATCTTACAAAATAAATTTTCTAAGTGATTAAATGATACTATTTCAGAAATACGTGAACACTGTCTACTTCGTTATAGATTCTCGAATCATCACACTAGGATTCAAAGAAAGATAACTAAAACATCTGTCATTTAATAACCAAACATGTGCAGATATATTACATGTGAATTTAATAGACATGTATGTCGTGTACAACTATGAAGCTGGTGTATTTAATACACCGACATATTTGTTTTCTATCTTCTTATCAAAATAGAATCGAATATCAAACTTTAATCAAGGAAAGGAAAAATATTGTTTTGTAAACCATCTTTTAATAAATGATTGATAAAAAGTTTAGAAAAAACGACCTTTACACTCCAGGTATATATATAGTTTTTTAATATTTTATATGTATTTGGAGTGTAACGGTCGTTTTTTTGAAAACTTTTTTCATCAATTTCTGTAAGTCCATCCATTATGCACTACAAATTTTGAAAGACAACTAAACATTTTAAAAAGTATGTTAATATTGTTTGTTAAGTAGATCAAAGCATCTTAATAAGTATGTCAATATTGTTTGTTAAGTAGATAAAAACATTTTAATAAATATGTCAATATTGTTTGTTAAGTAGATCACACATTTCTATCCATTATACATACTTCTTCACGCTAAAATGAACGAATAAAATATGTCACCTTCCAAATTTTCTAAAATTTAAGCGTTATTACTCTAGCTCCATATTAATGCTAAGAATCTTGCAAATTGAAATGTTTATCACCGCAATATAAACTACACATTATTGCTGTGTGTCCACCAAAAAAAAAAGATTAATCTATGAAAGCAGCAGTTTGAATTTATGGCAGCATCTATAACACAATGAAATCATATATATTAACATAAAAAATATATTTCCAAATAAATAAAGATATAAACATAATAGACAAATGTCATGTAAATTTGTTTTTATATTTAAATAGTTATTTTTACCTTAGCTTTTGTTTCCCCTTACATAATTTGAAGGATACACACATATCTACAAAAACAATTTTGTAAAATATGATCATATAAATAAACTGAGACATATTTGTAAATAAAACAACACTGAATACAAATTTTCATGAAAAATGTTTTAATAATAACTCCAGGGATAACTTACAAAAATTGGCTTTGTTTTTTATTGGCTCTTTTATGTGTTTTCTGTGAATATGAATAACTTTTGCGTATTAAACTGTATCTTAAGAAAACAAAAGAATATTATAATATTTATTTATAATATATGACAATTTACTGTGTTAAGGCATTCTAGTGGAACTTACCTTTCTTCTTTGATATGCTCTTCACCAGAAAGATCTAAAAATGTTTGAATAGAAATACATTAAAATAAATATAAACTTTGAAAATATAATTTAAAAAATGACCAAACATCTATTTAAGCGCTAACTGGTTATTAAAAAAACATTGTATAGATTGTTAAAATTAACACACACTAACTATATAGTGTTGACACGTCAGGTATCTAACTATCAAGATGAACACTAATAAAAAGAGATTTAGAAAGTGCTGGTCCTTTCAAATCAACCAATGTGAGAGCCCACATCAGCTGCCTCTGAAGTCTGTGTGTTTCAGGCATTTAAACCAATTCGCAATTTGAGAAAATAACTTAAGCCACATTTCACAAACTACATTTGGCAGAAAACATGTAACGTTTTTGGCATCGCCAACAAAAAATAGACTACACCCTCTCTGAAAGTTTTGTCCAGTCACTTATCCTGCGTATCTTCAATGTATCAACCAAGCTTAAGTGATTTTAGCTCTGCATCAAAATTGTGTGGCAAAAACTAATAGGATCCATTCCTCGACTTAGAAAATATGAAGGAAAGAAAATAGCATCACAACTTTTCTTAAGATTTTTACTCAAACTAATGTAATTTATTGATAATCTAAATGTAAAAAAGTTATTATAATGTAAAGTAGTTTTTCACGTATAAATGAACACATATTGATATTTGTTTTACGTTGTACAATACCATTCTTATAAAGTGTGAATTCTTATAGACAAGAATATTTAACCTTTTCTCACTGGATACTTCTACAGGTATAATTTTTAATGGGGCGCTAATATTACATAAATGAGTGTGTTAATGTTTTTTTTTCATAGCATTTGATCTTATCGTCAGGTTCTGGCATAATACAACGTCATATGTGTTATACGAGTGCTCAATAAAGTTTTAACAAGAAAAACTTGGACAAACTAACTTGACATTGAGCCAAAGATTTCGTCAGCGGTGGCCTATGACATACAAATATTGATATTAATTTCTTCCTATAAGAAGATGTAGGACACTTAAGAATGAAGTGATGACGATCATGAATATTCTTAAAGCTAGTTTATTTTACTTAATGACTTAAAAATGTTAAAGTTTCTTACGTTGCATAGTATTATGTAATGAATGTAGTGACTGACAGTCGTTAAATGAAGTGAACAGATTCAGTTCAGATACCATAAGCAACTCCGAAAGCTCATTTTCAAACAAAACTACTGACTACAGTTTGTGTTTTATTTTTATATTCTTCTTAGAATTAACTCAGTCAAATGGGTCTCCGACTTTTTGAATTCCAGAATACAGACAAACGTATATATTCGATCAACGGTTTTATTCGAATATTTAACATGCATAATTATACTATATTAGACGTTCATTGTTTGTAAAACTAAAAACAGCACACTGATAAGCTATTTATTGAAATAGTACAAAATCAGTAATAATGTTATAATAAACAATAGTTCAAGACTAATAGGTCTTATAGCTACTACTTTGTTGTCTGATTTTTAATGAAAATAGAATATTTCGAATCTTTTGATATAATATTGGATTTTTCCTTTGATCTTGATTTACTCCAAATGTATATCACATGTAATAGTTTTTATTGTTTAGATTGGCATGATCTAAAAATGAATTCACATCCTATTTCATTTCCCTCACTTTCATTTAAAAACTGAAACTGGTGAATCTATGTTTAATTTTCAAACTCTAGTTATTCTAAAAATGCATGTCCTGTGTGTCCAATAGCTATTTACAATCCTCAAAACATATTATTTTCACTATTTATGGTGTCAAACAGTCTAATACACGTAGTTAAGTATCAAATAATATTGATGTTTATGTTTTTGTAAATAAGAAATTAGATATTATGAATTTTAGTTTATTTAATACTCACTGACATACCTACCGTAAAAGAAGAAAAAATAGATTATTGTTATAATCAGTAAAATCTCCTGATACGTATATTCTAACGACTCTTTAAAAGTTACATTACTTTTTCTTGTTTTAACTTTGTACATAAAGTACAAAATAAGTAAAATATATCTAAATGAAATTCATTTTTATTAATTTTTGAAATTCTATATGTAAAATGTTATCTACATTTTATTTCTCTACGACTGATGGTAGCCTTAAGGGAATCCTTTTTTTGTTTTGTTCTTCTTATTTCTTATGAATTTTTCTCCTTTTTCATATATATATATATATATGAACATATATATTGTTCATTGCTGCCTTTCTGTATGTATCATTTTTTATGTGGCTGCATTTGATACCAGTAAAAGAAATATCACTTTAGCTACAATAATCAATTATGCAGTTGGCCATATATCTTGCTTTATGTAAATGTGAACTTTGTTTCTATTGAACTGTACGTATAGCACCCTTAAGTTTCATTATATATATATATATATATATACTAAGGATGGATATCACAAAAGTATTTCAATAGTTGCATGCTGTGGCAAGCAAATTAAATGTTGGAGTCACAGAAATGTACTTTCTATTTATTATTTTGTCATTGTGCAAGCGTTGAAAACTTTATATTAATAATTTAACTTATGAATTATTTCACTGGCGATGCTATCTTGTTAACTGTTGAAACAAATGTCTGTGGGTATTTGTATTCTATAGATCTAGACACGCAATGCTTTAGTGAAAATTAAATTAAAAAACTAAATTAATAAACTTTTGTGGATTTTCAGCCACTCCAATAGCTCTCTTGGGAAAACAGTGCATATCCAATGATTTCATATCTAAATTCAAATATCTTAGTACTTTGAAAAATCCACCTTTGTTTATATTGCCTTAAAGAATGTTCTCTTGGGGAGACTTTAATGTTTAATTCTAATTACTGTAACTTACAGCATACCATAGATTTAATACTCTATACGATGACTTCTTCTTCCTTACACAATAATCCGATTACGAAAATGACTGTAAGACTTGCAATTTCTTATAGATAATAATTCATTTGGTACACTATACCAGATCTCTGTATGGATTTAAGTAGGATATGAGAATGGCTTCTATAGGCTTGTAGAGAAAGGGGAGTTCTTTCTCTAATTCTTAGATACACATGGGTTGATCTGCTGAAATAAAACTATTCGTATACTAGAACTAAAATATTTTAGTCTATACGTTATCATGTATGACGTTAAATAAAGTGATTTATGCTTTGGACAGTGGCTTATGAAATGAAAATAGATACACTTACATTTTTACATTAAATTTCCAGGAAAAACAAAACATTAGTTTTACTATATATATATCTACTCAATTAATTTAAATATAAACATGAAATTTGATATCTAGGATATTTAAATTCGCTATAAATTTCTTTTGTAAGATAACTTAATAAGTTATTGCAAAATACGATTTTTATATGAATATTGAAAACTGACAGGAAATGCTAAGTGAAACATAAAGTTAACATATCTTTTTTCAGAATGATTTCCTCTCTTGTTAGTGTAAGTTATATTAAATGTTTCAGATTTATTAATTGATTATTTAACTAGTTTCTAATGTTTACAAAACATGATCTTACAAAAAGAGTATAAATAACTTTATGATTATTGCTATTCAACTGGCTTACGAAATCTATAAATTTTCGATTCAGTGTAGTTTCAACGAAACACTCTCTAAAGATATTTAAGTGAGAGTCTTAATTATCGTTTAATATTCAAGGATTAATATCTTACGCCATATCTAATGCTTATTTTATTGTCTAATTTGATATTGAAAAGATAATGAGATAGTTAAAAAGCTTACACTTCCAAATAAGTAATGTGGTTAGAAATTAATTAATATTTTTTAAAGTACAAAATATAATTAATTGATTACTGCGTCTAATACTTTTATATCTTCATTAGGTCAACATTCATGAACACTCTAGAAATCATATATTCTTAGAGATGATGATGAATAAGGATAATGTTTGATGTCTATCTATGTCTGTATTATCTTGAAGTTAAAAGATGTTATTCAATACACAGAGCGTGCACAAATTTCACCTATTACAGCAGTTAATTATAACGACAGACGAAGTCTGAGTGTGAATATTAACGTTTCACTCTCTTATACTGTAAATTTACTTCGTTTTCTCGAAGCTTTGGGAAAAAAAAATCTATCTATTATTGTAAGAATATATCATACTAAATTTTTATTGCTTTGTCAAGTTTATTGTTTGAGGACACAACTAATTTTACGATAATCAAACTATAATCTTAACCTTAAGTTTACTGTCTGTCCCTCTATAATTACTTTTGTTAAAAACAACTGTAACTGCGTTCTTCACACAAACAGATTAAGCGCTTCATGCTTGACGTCACACTGGTACCATGCATTATAGTGGCCACATAGCTCAGAGGCTCTTTCTCCTTAGGGACGTACGAGTTATTGGGATCTATATGTTCCAGTTCTCCCTGGGGATGTACGAGTTATTGGGATCTATATGTACCAGTCGATGACCTTTTAAAATGGCAGTGCTTCTTTCAATTCTTCGCCTTAGAATATTTTCTTAGTTTGTGGTGTGGACCATAAACTACGAAACTAAAAAAAACTAAAAAATGAAAATACATATACAGTCTTACCCTTCTCCCTTCTGTTATGCTTGAGTCGAAAAACGAAAACAATTGTGATAACCATTATGATTACACCAGCCAGTACTCCAAACAAAATGCCCAATACAGATTTTAAAGGTGAACTTGGAGAATTACCTAAAAAAAAAAAAAAAAAATATATATATATATATATATATACAAATATTTTTGTCAGGAATAAAACATAGTAGCAAATCATACTGTTTTCTATTTATAGGTGTTCATGAACTCACTGCAGAAAATAAACAACTCGTCAATAAGCGAGTGTCTGTAAGTGGAACACCTTGAACTTCACCGAAATAAATAAATATATAAACAAACGTTTATTTATTTCTCTATAAATATTAAAAATCAAACTCTCGGTAATGTTCTTAGTATGGTGATATAAAATATCAGAAGAAGAAAACTATTATTTTAAAGAATAAGTACACTGGTGTAATAAAACTTTCATCTTTCAACACTTTTTTACAATTTTATTTAACGAACTGGACTAAACTGTGGAAAGACACACTTTCTCTCTTAACCATTGTGAGTATATATATATATATATATGATTTTACGTAGGCATACGTGATTGATAAAAGAAACTTCAAACAACATTTTAATGCGAAATGTTTCCCTTCTTTTTCGAACACAGAGAGATTTAATTATATAACAAATACTTTGGTTTTTGCTATTTTACTTTTCCAGCAGACATTTTCCACTGCAACACCAAGCAATCTGAGCTTCAGGATAATCAAAGCCTTATTCTGTACTTCTCTTGTAATGACTCGATAACCCACTGGTACAACGAAAGCTCTAAAGACTTATACTAATCGTTCTCAGCGCTGAAAAAATAAAAGAAGTGAGCTTGGTTGTTTATACACGTTTCGTCAGTCTACGTGACTCCTAGTTTTATATTCTTCTATATATATATATATGTATGTATATCACAAAATATTTAATATTAGCACAGTCTGTCCATAAAATATGTTAGATTTGCATGCTAATTTAAAAATTGTAGCAATTTTTTATTATAAATCACTAAAAATATATATGTAAAAGTAAAGAGCAGACATTTCTAAAGCCCTCGAGCCTTTTCTTTGCAATCTTCTGTATTACTGAATAACTTTGTAATTATACTACATGTAAAAACAAAAGAGTTACAAATAATTTTCTTACTTTTGTGTGTGATTATGACTGTTAACGTAAATGTAATCTTCTATTATAATAAATCAATCTTACTGTGTAAAGAAAGGAAAGTTATCATCTTGTCCACGTATTCCCAAAGAAACTAGTTATACAAAGTGAGGCATAGTTTTCCTATCGTTTTACTTTGTGCAAGCTAACATATTTTGCTATAGTAATTACATTGCACTTAAAAATTCGGTTTTCTGTTTATCACACACAATATTATCAAACGTAACGTGATGAGTGAATAATGTAAAACTTTCACTCTTGATCTCATTCTGATTACAATGTTTTCTTACAAGTACCACCATTTATTATGTACAAAGATAATTCGTTCATGTATTCAAAAAAAAAAAGACAAAAGAAAAACAGAACACAATATCAATCCACTAACACCTCTTCAAGTATAACATTTGAAGTGTTTCACTTCTATTAATTAGTGTGTTGTAAACATTTTTCTATCCGCCTAGTAAACTAATATGATACAATAACAACAACAAAAAACAAACAAACAAGAAAACTAGGCACAAACATAAAAAACACAACTATAAAGAGGTCGATAAAAGGTTCATAAAAGGTTTCATACAAAATCTGTAGGCCCGGCATGGCCAGGTGGTTAAGACGCTCGACTCGCAATCCCCGTCCCACCAAACATGCTCGCCCTTTCAGCTGTGGGGGGCGTTATAATATGACATTCAATCCCACTATTCGTTGGTAAAAAGAGTAGCCTAAGAGTTGGCGGTGGGTGGTGATTACTAGCTGCCTTACCTCTAGTCTTACACTGCTAAATTAGGGACGGCTAGCGCAGATAGCCCTCGTGTAGCTTTGCACGAAATTCAAAACAAACAAACTAAATCTTTATTATGGGTATCAATGTGTCAATGGGTTTACAGCTGATGAAACAATGTATTCTAATTATATCTGATATAGCTTGAATTATATATATTTAAATTAGGTATACTCATTATTAGATATATATATATTTATGTCTGATTTATGCATGACTTGCCTTGATCAGAAGTCATATTAATGATATTTGATTAGAACCAAAACTGTTTAAATGATTATAGCATTACATACAGTTTTAATATAGTGTTGAATATATATAGTACATGTAGGAGTAACAGAATATGATAAATTATCTATATTTGCTCATGTAGTTAGAAGTAAGTATTACGTTAACTTACCTTTCACATATCTTTCTGTTTGAATTGCGTTCGTAACATAACAGGTTTTAAAGCAACTTGAAGATAAGTATAAAAGTTTAACTTGTTTGTTTATTGAATTTTTACACTTAGCTACTCAAGGACTATCTGATCTAGCCGTCCCTAATTTTGAAGCGTTAGACTATAGGGAAGGCAGCTAGTCAACATCATCCACCCTTTACCAACAAATAATGGTATTAACACTCACATTTTAACGCTCCCATGACCTTAAAGACGAGCATTTTTGGTGACGGGTTTCAATCCTGCGACCTGCAGATTGCGAGTCGAGCTTCCTACCCACCAAACCATACCATGTTCAAACTGTGAATAAATTATCTTGTTAACTAACAATTTATTCTTACTATTTTAAAATCCATTTCTCTGATAAGTGCATGTGAATGGTTTTATATGTGCTGAATCATAAGATATTAAAAATTCCAGTTTACTCAGTCAATATGTTTACATATTAATATTGTATGACAAGTACATATGATGGTAGTTTTTCAGTGTGTACTGTACAAAAGCGTCATTCTCATTGTGTCTAGAATTACAATTTAGTCCTTAAAAAAGATAACATTAAACGATATATTTTACATGATGTCTAACATCATTATATAGATTTGGGTGTTTGCATTGTTTTTGAAGGATTGATATTAGCCATCCCTACATTTACCTCCTTTTTGAAAATGTTTTTCTTTACTTGTTTGCTTGTTTTTGAATTCAGTGTTTCAATAGACATAGGAAGGTTGTATTTATATAATACAATGAGGTTCTAACTGTAATATTTATTGTTTATCTATTATTGGATGGTAATTCCTGCTTCACCCTGTATTTAAGCTTTTTGAAGGAACATCATATTTTTGCAGGAAAGTTAACTACAAGGGGTAATGATAACATCGTTTACACTAGAATTATGATTTTTTTTAAATTACTACTAGTTAATAATACTTATAAAAGCGGATACTGCGTTTGAAACTGTGTCACCTCAGTGAATGTGTTTGAGAATATGATTTTGGTTTTCGAGTTATCATGTAATAAAAAAAAAAGAAGGAAGAACAAGAAATTAAAAGTTGTTGCTATGATATTTGCAGAAATTCCCAGAACTTGTAACTCAGTCATTACATAGATATTGTTATAAAAGAAACAATGTCAAGTATTGTAAAGTTCTGATGATCTATTGTGGAGATATTTAAAATACCATTTCGATGAACAATCCGAGCCATCCCTACATAGGCAGTACTACCGCCTACCTGATATTCCGGACGATTTAAATTACTGTCGTATTTAAACAATGTTTGTACTGTTTATATGCGAGGCTTACTATTATTATGTACTGGTTTCCGTTGAATTAATATGATCCTGAAGATAAGTATAATTCGGTACTAGCTTCTGTTGAATAATTATGCTTTGCGAACTAAATATAAATAAATTGATCGGTAGTTTATTCTTGTTCACTTTATTATTCTTAGAATCCTGCAGCTGATGATGTTCATTTTCATAACTGTTTTGTGTATGCCTAGTGTTTTACTAAACAATAGGCAAATACAGTTTCCTTCTTCTTTGTTCACAAATTCTTTGTTTTTATGGGTCCTAGCGCTGAATTTCTAAGACACCTACGTAATTTAATATACTTTTTTAAACAAAACAACTCCTTTGGATATTTTATTTTGTAATCGGATGTACTAAGCGTATAATCACAAATACGGATATATATGAAAGTAAAAACATACATTTCTTACTTTTTCAATTTTTTTTTTACATAAATAAGTGGTTATATATATATATATATATATATAT